AAAAAAAAAAAAAAGATAATAAAAAGTGCAGAATTAAAGATCATTTATATTCGAAGAATTCACCTTGTTCAAACAACTAGAATGTAGCAATGTCTTACCTAGAACTATTGGCTTGTAAAGAAGATCCCTGCATGACAAAAATAAACTTGAGTGATTGAGAACGAGGCAAGGCACAAAAAAGAACAGTCCTCCAATGAAATCTTTGACATTCTAAGTTTGTAAGTCCACTCCAAGAGTCCAATTATCCCACTTTTTAACATGGAAAACACTTGACCTACCACCACTTTGTTGTCTCCCAGCATAGGAAACCCCAAAAATTTTGAGGGCTTGTTTGGTTGATGGTAGTGACTATTTCTCAAACTATAAAAACAAGTTAAAAATGAGAAACTTCCATAGGAAGCTAGGAATAGTTAAGGCTTAACGTCTAGCTTTCCTTTTACATTAGTTAATAATCAAGCAATACCTATTCCTTGAAAATGTAAGAAATAGATATTTCTCATTCATCTCTTAGTTTAGTAGAAAATTATCAATATTAAGGATTAGTTATTCCTAGTTCCTAAAAAACGTTTCTTAAATGAGAAAGGTGTCTTTCTAGTACAAACTGCACTTCTTTCATGCCATCTAGATACTGAAATTATCAAAACACCATTAATGAATAAACATGGAAGGCAATTATTAAAGGTATTTTGAAAATTTCAGTACCCAAACTGCACAAAATGTGCAGTCCATACTAAAATACACTTTTTTGTACTTAAATCTACCTTATTTGTATAGTTTGAGCAAGGAATAGCCACTACCACAGACCAAACATGCTATATATGATAGTGCTACATAATCATAACAAAAAAATTACAATCTTTTCCTCCCTCTTACCGGTGGGACTAGCTGGGGCAAAAGTCTGAATACTCATAGTTCAAAGAAAAAAAAAAAAAGACTATATTTGTTTCTCCAAAAAATTGAACAGAATCATAAACAAACGAGAGATAATGAATTACTTCCAATCGTATTACCAAAGGTATTAGCAAATAGAAAACTATTTAGCATCCATTATCTTGCAACAACGGCAGGACTATAAATATAAGACATTGAATCGGCGATCGGAGGGAGGAATTTCAGTTATAGCGATGCTAACAAACATTGATATATTTATTTGGTGATAAAAGACTGAGAAATTACAAACACACGCAACAAGTAAACGAGTCGGAGATGATTTCCTCCGATTCGGCGGCTGCGGCGGCGACGGACTGCTCTTCCATCGGAGAATCTTTCAAGGTGAAGAGATTTAGAAGTTTCGAGGGTGAGGGGGGAAAACACTTAGCATGCGACGCCGGTTTAATTTTTATTTTTGTTTTTTCCCAATCTGGCCACTGGTAGTTGCTAACCTTATAATATGTTTGGGCTGGGTGGGGGTGTTTTGGGAATGGAATTGGGGAAGGGGGAAGATTATTTGATCAATTAAATTATAAAGTTTTACTAGTAATTTACCTCAATTAACTATTAAATCTAATGAGAAATGATGATGTGATAAATAGTGGTATAATTTTTATTTATTTACAAAAATTCACTATTGATTAAGCTAAAATTTTATTTAAGTATTCATAAAATATCGATTTGTATTTTGAAAAATCAATTTTTCATTTGGAATATCGTAGCTTTTAATTTCATTTAGTGACATTTTTCTTTTTGTGGTTCCATTTTCTTTGTTGCTTTGTGGCTAATTATTCCTCTTGTTTGATGCAATATTTGTGCTTTATTTTAAAAAGAAAATATTATGTACTCTCTGTGATTATAGTATTATAGAGAAGTTATTTTTGGTGCACTAGACATTCCATATTTTTTATCCTTTTTAGGAGGTTTCCACATAAAAATCTTGTACCTTATGTTCTAATTGTTTTTGCCTTGGCCATCTTTGTTATTTTGTATATTTAGTTATTGCCATATCTTATTTGGACATGATTTAGCTTACTCATACTAGTTTTAGATAGATTAGGAATGATTTTGGTGGTGTTTTCTTTTCACTATGTTCAGGTGACACCAAATTTTCCTAACAAACTAGTAGAAGAGCAATTGACTTGGTGCTTTCAAAGATCTATTTGAACCATAGAGACAAATATGAGTAAAATAATTTGTTTAACTGAAGTGAATTATGAAAAAAAAAGGAGAGTTAAAATGAAAGAATCTACTGTTTGTGGAAAAGCTGCATTTGTCAATATTCCAAACTTAGAAACCAAAGAAGATGACTAATGAGAAGTGGACTTTTGAGCAACAACTAGCTTGTGGCTACATAAGGCAATGGGTAGAAAAGAATGTCTTAACTCACATTGCAAATAAGACACATACTAGGACTTTGTGCGAAAAGCTGAAGGCACTTTATACTTCAAAGATTGACAATAACAAGTTGTTCATGCTGAAGCAAGTGATAAATTTGAAATATAAAGGAGTCCTATTTTAAATCATGTAGGTGACTCTCAAGGCATCCTTGATTAGTTGTCTGATATGGGTGTTCAGTTTGATGACGAGATACGTGGACTTTGGTTGCATAATACTTTGCATGACTAATGGGAAACCTTTCAGGTTTCATGGACTAATTCTACTTCCAATGGTGTTATGACTATGGTATATGCTAAAAGCAAGCATCTTAAATGAAGACGAGAGATGAATTAATTAGTCTTCATCTTCCTCAACATCACACTAGGATGTTATAGTCATTGAAGATCGAGGGAGGAGCAAACATATGGGTCTAAAAAGCAAAGATAAAGAAAATTAAGGTTGAAGTACAAAGATCTTGAATGACACTATAATGGGAAATGGGAAAAGTGGATATATCTATTTTCAACTAAAAAGGGATATAGGACAGAAAAGAAGAAAGATGAGGACAATAAGAATTGTGTTGCTACTACCATTGAAGATGATCTTCTTTTTGGTTGTGATGAAAATGTCATCAATTTTGCCTGCCATGAGTTAGTTGAGTTGTGGATTCTAGTACTGCATACTATGTTACATCTAAGAAGGAATTCTTCACATCTTATACTTTCAGTGATATTGGATATTGAAGATAGGTAATGATGGTAATACCAAGGTGATTGGGAGTTCTAAGTTCACCAAAACAAGTGTGCATAAAGAGAGGATGTAACAATTTAGTATTAAAGTATTGTTATATATTGAAAGATAGTCTCCACCATTATAATTATCGCAATGTTAGTGTAAAAAAGATTATCATAAATTATATTGGAATGTTTTTCAATGTATTATTATTGTCTCTCTCTTTTTTTTTTTCTTTTTATTGATTGAATTATTATCCTTAACTATGCATAAATAATTCATGAACATCTTTTAAAAAAAAGTTAAAATTTTCTCCTAAATAAATACACCAATAAACATTCAAAGCGGGTCTTCAAGTCTAATGATTCATCTCCAAGCCTTAATGCTTGGGTTTAGTTGGTTGAGAGTTTGACTTCCACCAATAACTTGAAAAAAATTCCGTCATGTTAAAAAAAAAAAAAAAAAAAACACCAATAGACATTCAAAAAGCAGAAGCAATAAATAAAATAAAAATAATAAATTATAATTAAATGTTCATTGCTTAATTTGAAGACAACAAAATGAAAAAGTTCATGCCCTAAAGAAGAATGTATAGGGCATCTAATTGATATTAAATCCATTCTCTTTTTATAAAAATATTACTTTGTTAAAGTGATGTTTGTAAAATTTTTCTTCTAAAAGATACTCCAACTTTTCAAATCTCCAGAAAACCAAAAATGGACAAAGTCCATAATATAAATTTAGGATAACAAAACTCTGCTAGTAGAGTGACTGGTCACCAGTATTTTCTTTGAAGGTTCCTACTAACGGCAAAAAGTTATTTTAACCCTTTACTTTAATAATTTATAGGTTTTAGCCTCTCAGTTTATACTAAGACACTTTTAACTCCTTACCTATACGAATTGAAAAAAATAACTCTTCTTTAATGTCTTGTTAATTGACTGTTAATTCTGTTAGCTGATTGTTAGCATTCTGTTATAGAAATATGAAATTTAAATTCAATTTTATTTGTTAGTTCCGTTAACGAAATACTAACAGTCAACTAACAGAACTAACAATCAACTAACAGAACTAACAAAACGTTGTAACTTGACATTAAATAAGGTCTATTTTCTTCAATTCTATAGGTGAGGTGTTAAAAGTGCCATAGTATAAAGTAAAGGATTAAAACCTACAAACTTATTAAGGTAAATGACTAAAAATAAATTTTTGACAAATAAAGAAAGGGTAGATTTTTGCACAACCTTTTGTTCCACCTTTTTGTACAATATTTTTGTCCCACCTAACACATAATTTAAATTATTGTTTCTTTTAATTTATGTAAAATTCATAAAATTGAATGCATCTATAATATGTAAAAATTGTATAAAAAAATAAAATAAAGAAATTATCCATATAGCTCCACCAATCAAGAAAGCTATAAAAGTTTCCCTTCTTTTTCGAAAAAAAAAAAAAAAAGAAAGAAAAAAGAAAGAAAGAAAGAAAGAAAGAAAGTAGTGTTCCCTGCATATTTATTCATTTATTAACAAATTTTATTATCTCAATAAATACAAGCCAATTATCTCAAAATAACTATTCTTAAAAAAAAAAGTAGTTATTATCTCATTTAATGTGCTTTTGGTGCAAGTACAACATAAAGGAAATAAAAGGAAAATTTTATAAATAGAAGAAGAAAATATATAACCTATTTTTCTACAGATGATGTTCTTTGAAGTTTTAAATGAAATTATATGAACATAAAAAAACGATTTTTTATATATATTTTTTTCTTAGATTCTTTTTCCCTTACATATTAAAAAAACCAAAGGAAGCATAAGAATACCGAAAGGCAAAAGCTAAGACTTCACATTTGAAACTATAGATTATACATCGAACTTTTAGCTTTATATACAAACCTGGTTTTCTTATTCAAGAATTACATGCTCATAATGATCTTCCACACCATTACCATTAACACATAGGAGCTACTAAGCATTGCCCGTATTATTGCCCTTAGAATCAGCAATCAAAATAAAGGATTCACTTCCCTTTCCTACATTTTCCAAAGCATCACCATACAGAAAAGTAGCAAGAAACTTTTCATTAGCCTTGATTATTACGTATAATCAGAAACCTGTGTTCTGGAGTATGCTGCTGATTGAACCGGCCAGGAAGCTTGGATGGAGAGTTATAGCAATTGCTGCAAAGATCGAAGCCCATTGCCTCCGTACAGTCTCTGCATCTGTATCTATCCCCTACTATTGGTAACTTCTGTTGGTGCAAACTCAAGTGTGAGTTGACTTGCTGATAGTTTTAAGACGATGAAGTATAATAACAACTAGATATATCATACTGTTAGTCAAGCAGGGAAACGAGATGCTAAATATTTTTCAAACAATATCTTCACATTCCAAAGTATACTTGAATTTACTGAAGACCAAAGAACTTTTACGCCATACAAGCAAAACCAGAGCAAATGATTCAAGTTGTTTAGCACTCTACTTAGAACACATTGCTAATTTTTACCAACTAAATGTCACTAAACAGGGTGCAAGAAGGTGGTCAATATCCAAGGGATGAAGAGAGCAGAATATCCTATACAAATATACCATGATCTCTACCTAAAGCAAACGAAATAGCATCATTAGAGCATCCAAGCAAAAGCAATCCATGCCCATTATGCAATGATATGAGCAAGAAGTGTCAGATGTGCATAGAGCATTGACAAGGTCCTAAAACAAGTAGGCTTTTTTCCCTTAAGCAGCCACAAAAAATCAGAAGCACGGGGAAAGGAAAAAGAAAATTGAAATCCAATTTTGTGGTTAATATGATGATCAGTTCATAGGTGCACATAAAAGAAAGGAGACTAAAGGAGTAGGAACTTACGCCACAAGAATCACAACCAACTCCTACATGTACATGCATGCCATTCGTAGAGAGAGAGGGCACATCAAAGAAGAGGGAATTTTCCTCATTGGAGCCTGTGTAGTCTGAAAGATTCAAGAATAATTAGAATATCTAAAGATGTATATACTGAAATAAGATAGTAATACGACAAAACTCTAGTTAAGATCGAGTTGAAAAAATCACAGAATTATTAAATTAGTGCACTAACTTAAGCATCGAATAGGGAATCATTTAAGATTAAATAAATGATAAAATGGCAAGAAGCATATTAGAAATAGAAGCTAAAAGGAGGGGGAAATTAATATTATCCTGCTGTAACTAATAATCAACATAGGAAAAAATGAACCATATTGGCATTGAGATGCATGGATAAACAAAAAATTGACACATACGGGTAGCAGCACTCCCATGCTTGAAAAGAGCTTGGTCTAGCTGAACAGCATCTCTTCTCAATTCATATTCTTTAGGGAAGTTTTCCTCCAAAAAGTAATCAAGAGCCAAACAAACTTTTGGAAGTCTCGCAGGATGTGGCATTTCACAAACTTTACAAGTAATCCTCTCATCATCTGAGCAGATGATACAACTTTCACAGAATGCTGATGAATATAAATTAGTAATGATATTCAATCAAGAAAATAGATGAAAACTAAATCCTAAATATTTTAACTTTAAGAAAATTTTGTATTTGTACCGTGACCACAGTTAAGAACAACAGGCCGAAAAAGCAGGTGCCTAGATGCACCACATGACAAATAAGCAAGCAAAGCCTGCTTCTTTTCTTTTCCAGCAACAAGGTCAATCCCACTTTGTTTTTTACCATCAGTTCTGGTAACAACTGGACCATCATCATGAAACTCTATTTGGTCAGTGCTTTTGAAAGATTTTGCCGTACTGGTAGACCAAAAATTCAAAAGTTTCAAAATGAGAAGAATTTACTACCTGTATCAGAGGAACATGCATAATCTATCAGGTGATCAAATCCTCCATCTGCATTTGTTGGATATGTATGATCATCAAATTGTGGAGACTGAGAGTTCATTTTCTTTTCCTCCTCTGTAACATCCAGTGGCAAAATTATATGACAATAGCCAACCAAAATTGGAATGACAACAGACTAGCTATGATGTGAATTAAGCAAAACACTAACACTTCATCAACCGCACCTCCCCTCTTCCCTTCTTTTTGTGACAAGCAATCAAGTGAACAGAATGATGACAGTAGGACAACATTTCAATAATGTTGCAGAATCAAATCATAACCCATTATTGTATGCGACAATAGTTAGAACTTGAAACTTCCAAGTTGGAGACTCATATTTGAAACTTGGGACGTTGGGAAGGAATTTGAGAAAGGGGAGAGCTACAACATGTTGTATAATCCACAACCAGATGTACTAACAAAAAGAATCACATTATAAAACACAAATTAGTTTTCAAAAAACAAACAAAACATAATATCTGAGTGCTTCATAACTGGGACTTGTATTTCTCTACACTGCTTCAATTTGCACAAAAAAACAATGGTTTCCACTTTCCACATGTTATGTCAGTAGGGTTGGATCACTCCAATCGAACCATCTGGAGCTTTAATTAATTAGACTACAAGCTAATTGTTCTCTAGTTAGGCCTAGTCAAGAAACATGCTCTGGTTACTCTTTATTTTCAACAGGAAACATGTTTGTGTCTTTAGAGATTTTTATAACCATGACACAGTACAGAAAATCAATAACCTAACCTTGCTAACACATCACATTCAAGAACTGTGCTCTTGTGTTTGCCTACATGTGCAGAAGCAGTTTAAACAATATATATAGCTTACCTCTCATTTGATTTTCCTTTCTCTTGCACGCAACTGGGTAGATCTTCAAAAGCAAGAAATGAAGCATTTCGCAGATGTTTGAGAGATGGTTGAATGGATACATACAAATTTGGCAATGAGACATGCCTGCCCAATTCATGCTTCTATGCACACACCAAAAACAGGCAATGTGACCACAAGCTGCAAGACAAAAGGAGAGCTAAATTAATTGAAGAAAGCACTCTCATCAAAGATTATGAATCACTATCTTTCTGGCAGGTAATAAGTAAATAACTAGCAACATCTTACGCAGCACAATGGGTTTGTAAAGAAGATCCCTGCAAAACAAAGGAACATCAATGTTTAAAATTCACCATTAGAAAATCAAACTTATCACACTTAACACGACAAATGGAATGCACAGACAAGAATAGAATTCACCACAACATCTGTCTGTTAAAACCAATACATATGCAGTGCAGGTCAGACTCAAGTATGGGTGTCCAAAAAACTAAAAGGTTAGAAATGGAAAGTAAGGTCCTCCTAAGCTGCAAAACTTATCAAGCAGTCCAAGAACGACATTCCATCCATGTGATTTACAGCCATATTTATGGACAAAATGGGTCCCCTTCGCCCCTTTTCCACCTCTTAACTGACTTCCCTTTCGACGGTCTGATCTAGTCTAAGATTAAAATAACAAACCATCATCATATCTTCCCATACATTTCTGAGAAAAACTTGCTAAATATATGGTTGAAAGAAATGAAAATGATGAAGAAATGTTGAAAAGTGATGCAATCACACAATCTGCTCCAAAAGCAAAACACAGTTTTCTTAAATTCTGGAGTTACAATTACAAATTTTTAGCTTCTGAAGCAAAATCTTTTGAAAATTATTTACAATTAAGTTATTAAATTTCGAATTAGCAATTCTTAAAAAAAAAAAAAAAAATTCTACTTTCAAAAAGCACTTCTACATGAAGCTCCAACTACGCCAAACGGGATCTTAACAACCAAATCCTAACCTGAAATCATATTAATACTTTCCAACGAAGATTTGACAACAAGTTCTGGTTCGTACTTTACTTCAGATGGAAAAACCCTAAGTCATCCAAAGCTATGGCGAAAGAAGTAATAGAAATTAGTAGAGAGAACTTACAGACAAAAGGAACAACGAAATGAATTAGAGATTTCTTCGGGTTGGACTGAGTCCGCAGTTTTTTGATCTGCCATTACCAAAGCTTCAAAGAAAAAATCCTCTGAATTCAGGAACGGGGGAAAAAGGAAACGAGGAAGGCAGGTTGGCCAAAAAAGAGGATATTAGGAGAAGGGGAATTTAATAATTTATCTTGTTGGAAGTAGAATTCTGAAGAAATAGAAATTTTCGAGACTGATTGGACTTAAAAGAATAATAATGATAAATAGAGCATTTTGGGAAGAATCAAGGATGACATGAAATCAGCCGTTTATTTTAAAATAAAAAAATGACTTAAAAATAAATTTTTATTAATTTTTTTAATAATTTTATATGTTATTTAAATAATTATTTTTTTATTTATTTAAAATTTGTGATATTAAGAGTATTTATTAATTTAATAAAATATAAAAATTATAAAAATTTTGTATAAAAAATTTATTCTTGCATTATCACCCTTTAAAATATTAAAATATTAAAAAGTGAATGGAATATTATTTAAAATAACATGTAATTCATGATATAATTTAAAAATATTTTTTAATATTATATTGATTATTATTAAAAAATAAAAATTAGAATTATTTACATAATATAAATAATAAAATTAATGTCAAAATTTATTATTTTTTGTGTTAATTAATATTAAAAAATATATTAATTATATTTTTTAAGACATAAATTAATTTCTTTTTATTTTATTAAAATTTATAATATTATATATATCAATCTATTTAATCACAGTACTCATATTACATCATTGGTGCTAAATTTTCCTCTAGTGTCACTACTCCCTTTAAAATCATCATTTTGGGTTGTGAAAAACAAAAGTATTGTTGATAAATTTTTTCGCGAACAGATTTCATTGGTGAAGTAGTAGTTTATTTTTATCTTTTCATACTCGAAACTCATGTTTTTAATTTTTAATTCAAAAATATTATAATTATAATGCTACTTGATATTGTAAATGAATAATACAATGTGTTATTATATAATAATTTTTTTTATTTAAAGATTTACTCTTTATATTATCTACATCCATTTATTTAATAATACATGAAATTATAAATTTATAATCTTATGTAATATTGTAACTATAACTATACTAATTCCACTAATACGAAAGATTTGAAATTAAAGGTTAAGTTCAAATACATGATGAGTGATCCTGCTTAAAATTTACTTGTGTTTTTTTTAATTGTGATTAAATATTTTGACTTGATGTAATTTTTAACCTCATTAATTTATAATATTAATTTTTTTTATTTTAATTGTACCATAAGAGAAAATATTTTTAAATTTCTTAACTTGCCTTTCTAATAAATTTTTTTATTTTTATTCTCAGCCATGTTCCACAGCTCCAAAGACTGGAAAAGAGGCGAGGAAAGTAGAAAAATATCGACATGTTAACTAGACTAACGTGAATCAAAAATTTTAATGCAGTAGACATTAGGAACGGAAAAATCTAGGTTAAATACTAATTTTGTTCCTCAACTTTTAGATTTGTACCAAAATTATCTTTAAACTTCAAAAAATATTGAAATTGTCCCTAAATTTTAATTTTTGGTACCAAAATAATCCTTAAATGTTAATTTAGTACCAACTTAGACCTTAAACTTTGATTATAAGTACTAATTTAGTCATTCGATTTTGATTACATATTAATTTATGAAAATCCGTACAATAGTTTAAGGACCAAACCAAAATTTTTTTTTAATTTAAGAACTAAATCAAAGGTTCATACAATAATTCAAGACCCAAATTAGGGGTTTAACTAAAAAAAAAAAAAGTTTTACTAAGTAAGAGGTAGGGTAT